CGATCTGACCGTGAGACAACGCGCGCTGGTGGCCCCGCATCGCGGACTTGAGTGGCGGTCGTGCTGCGAGGGTCCCTCCCAGGGTCGGTGTCCCTCCATGGCTTACGGATCTCGAATGTCCTTTTGCTTTCGGAAATAAGTACGTTTGCTCCGGTGCCCCCGGCAAACTTGGTACCGTCGAAGGTGTCTCTCCACTTCCTTCTGTTGACATTTTTATTCATCCGAAGAACGACCGGTTTGCTAAACGCTCTCATTTAAGACTGCAATCCTTTTGACACCCTTTCGAATGTTTTGTTCCGTTATTTGCTTGTCGAGAATGTATCGTAAAATTCGAAGCATATGGTTCCAAATCATCTATTCACTATTTCACACATCACTGACGCTTTTATTTTGATAAAACACAAAACACGTGGATGAATTTTAAATAAAACAAAGATGTAAACATTTTCCGTCCCGAAGTTTTGAAAATAAAACAATAATCCTGTCACGGAGAACAGTCGTGTGTAGTTTGCAAAAGACAGAACAAAACTCAAAAACAAGACTGACTGAGTGACTGACCGGCTGACACTGACAATCTAACAATTGCTGACAATGACAATCTGCCTCATTGGCACTTCGATAGGGATGGTCGTAAGACCAAATAACTTGTTAAAAAACACTGATATAAATATTAAAATTATTTCCCATTTTAACATAAATATCAAAATTTCATTTTTCTCAATTTGTTGAGAATTAATAAAACTTTATAAACTACATTTCTTGGAATAGTTAATTCCAAAGTTTAAATACCAGTTAAATAGGTATTTCATAATGATCAGTGATAAGTATTGTGCCTTGTTTCTTGTTTCTTGCGCACGTTTACTTTTGGTTGCTGTAATTGTCCTTTTTTAAGTGGTGGGGTTATTAGTATTTAGAGTCAGAGTTTTTTAATACGCTACGCATAAAATCGCTTTTAGTTATTACTATTAGCACCTAGCTATATAGCAACAACTTTTCAATATTTCTTTGAAAGATATTGATGGATATGGAGCCTATGTGACTTTTTGTTATTTACAAAGCTAAATTATGCTAAGCATTGAATCTGGGGGGGACAATAAAAAAAATCGGTTCCGGCAGTTTTTTGACATTAATACGTTGTTGGGTCTGTGAATTTTGTGTTTTTCTCTTCTATAAGGTTGGTACTTTTTCGTCGACGTCATCGTAGGCGGACATATTTGGCCAGTGTTCTCTATCCGACATTTTGACATTTATTTCCCGGTTGCTTGCATATTTCTATCTTGTAAGAGTTTTACTCAGTTTATAAGCTTTACCAATATGGATGAAGAATACGATGCGATTGTCTTGGGCACAGGGCTCAAGGAATGCATCCTCAGCGGTATGCTTTCGGTATCCGGAAAAAAGGTATTACACATTGATCGTAATAAGTATTACGGCGGCGAATCTGCGTCGATTACCCCATTAGAAGAATTGTTCGAAAAGTTCAATGCACCGTCGCCGGATGAAACATATGGACGAGGACGTGACTGGAACGTGGACTTGATCCCCAAGTTTTTGATGGCGAATGGCCTCTTAGTGAAACTGCTCATCCATACGGGCGTAACCCGCTACTTGGAATTCAAGTCTGTGGAAGGAAGTTATGTATACAAAGGTGGAAAAATTTCGAAGGTGCCGGTGGATCAGAAAGAGGCATTGGCATCTGATCTGATGGGTTTGTTTGAGAAGAGACGTTTCCGCAATTTCCTTATTTACGTCCAAGATTTTGATGAACAAGATGCGAGGACCTACAAAGGTTTTGATCCCACTACTGATAAAATGAGTAAGATCTATAACAATTTTGGGCTTGATAAAAACACCCAGGACTTTACTGGTCATGCACTAGCTCTTTACTTGGATGACAATTACCTTGAACAACCAGCTATACAAACAATCAATCGTATTAAGCTATATTCTGATTCTCTTGCCCGGTATGGCAAGTCTCCATACTTGTATCCAATGTATGGTTTGGGGGAGCTGCCTCAAGGATTTGCTCGTCTCTCTGCTATATACGGAGGAACATACATGTTAGATAAGCCTATTGATGAAATAGTCCTTGGTGAAGATGGGAAGGTTGTTGGAGTACGCTCAGGGACTGAGATAGCTAAGTGTAAACAAGTATACTGTGACCCCAGCTATGTGCCCGATAGGGTTCGCAGGAAGGGCAAAGTTATTCGCTGCATTTGTCTTCTAGACCACCCTATTGCTAATACAAAAGATGCATTATCTACACAGATAATTATTCCTCAGAAGCAGGTGGGTAGGAATTCAGATATTTATGTTTCCTTGGTGTCATACACTCATCAAGTGGCTCCTAAAGGTTGGTTCATTGCAATGGTTTCTACTACTGTGGAGACTGAAGACCCAGAACTGGAGATCAAGCCAGGCTTGGAGTTACTAGGACCGATCAGGCAGAAGTTTGTTAGTGTCACTGATTACTTTGAACCAATTGATGATGGAAGCCAAAGTCAAATCTTCATATCCGAGTCCTATGATGCTACAACCCACTTTGAGACTACCTGTCTAGATGTACTAAAGATCTACAAGAGAGGCACTGATGAAGACTTTGATTTCTCCAAAGTGAAGGTGGAACTGGGAGAGGAGGAGCAGTGAACTCTCACCTACCTATGTATATTTGCTTGTTAATTTAAACATTTGTTTATATCTGGCTATAAAATGAATTGTTTTTTAGGGTTCTTGGGTAAACAACATAGAGAATGTATGTATGTAAATCGCTCCATTTAAAATTATCTAATTGCATTAATTTTATTTCTACCAGAAGTGATTTAAATGATATAAGAATGTTATTTATAGGAATTTATTCTCCATTTAAGATTGCTTTTATAATTTAAGATTTACATTGCAAGAAATGATTGCACACTTGGTAGAAACATGGGAAATGCATTCCATTTCAATACTTTTGGATCCAGTATCCATATCATATATTACAACTTATTGAATGCTCACTTTACATTTAAATGTTTTGTGTAAGATCAAAAAATAAAGTTACAACATAAACTTTACAGCTTTTTATTTTTATAACAGATGTTCTTATGAAGATAAAACAGAATCTTGAACATCATTTTACATCATCATCATCATTTTCAATCATTTTACAATTTTAATAAATAATAATACTAGTTTTTATATTAATGACTTAAATTTAATACAATACAGATAGTCATTTCTACATCCGATGAATATTTTGTCGTTAGAAACGGCTGGAGATGAGAATGTCTCATTTGGAAATTGATATTCTGATATTATGGTGCCATTATCTGTACTTATCACGCACATTTTTCCATTTGTTGATGTTGCTATAATAGCAGTGTTATCTAAACAGCAGGGTGTAGCGTAAACCGGTGAGGTCATCTCAGTCCGCCAGTGTAAACTTGAACGAAAGTTTTTCACAGTGATGCTGTACACTCCATTGTCGTGACATCCAAATATAAACTGCCAAGTTAATGCATCCAAATTTTTTATATACACTGAAGAAAAAATGTTACCCCTTGCACCTTCATATTTCCACACCTTAAAAAAGAAATAATAAAACGATTAATATCTTTCAACATAGTCATAGTTCAATGTATTTAGTGCAAGTGGTATTCTCTGAATCTATTTCGATTTAGAGATATGTTGAAGCAGAATTTTGTGTTAAGTAAGTCAAGTAGAAAGAAAATGTTGATCGTAGATATCAATCCATAATATTTATGACATAAGTTATCTATGTTAATAATTACGGTCAACATTATCTTATCAACGACTTGCAAAATCAATTGCTACATATTACTGCAACAGGTTCGAAAATTGCTATTGTTACACTAGCTGTCGGCCGCGACAATCCACGCGGAATTAAATAAATTAACGTAATTATTTTTTAATTTCATTAAAACTTTTGCTTTTATAACAGTAAAACGTCGTTTGCCTCCTACTCCAATAAAAAGCTCTTTGCTCTAATATTGTTTTTTCATTAGTGCAGGACGCAAACAAGTAAACAACGACAGTTTTTATATCATGCAGTAAAGCCTCACAAGAACAGATAACCAAAAAAAACCTTCAATTGTTGATTGATAAAGTGGTGTAAAAAATCTTCGGAATTACCTTGATGCCTTTCTCTACAGTTCTGCAATGCACGTCACCGTTGACCTCCGCGAATACGACGTACTTGTCATCGTCGTATAGCGCGGGGCGCGCGAACACCGGGCTGGCGAGCTTGCCGCGCCACGCCGCGCGCCGCGCCCGCGTGTCTATGCCCGCGCACACGCCCGACAGCGTGCCCACCATTATGTACCCGTTCTTAGCCAACACTGTGTCCGCTGATATCGCTTGTTCCGCCACTTGAATTGTTTGTTTTATTTCACCGTTCTATGAAAATCATTTTTTCAAACTGTACTCACAATTAAGAAGGAACCTTTACATCATTTTTGCCTTTTACACTCATAACCATAGACTATATCTCTAAGAAACTGTCTTTTTAAGAACTGTTGGTCAAACAAAAATAGTATAATAATAGTAACTTCAGCCATTGTGGATATAATTATTACTTATTTACGTTACAGTAGCATTAGAAAAATGTAAATTAATCAGAATTGTCATGTTTCGCATTTTGTTCTTAGTAGTTTTATAAACATAAAATCACCACCCAGAGATAAATTTGTTATTTACAATATGACTATGTAATAATTAAAGTTCATTGCCTTAATAATGCAGTGCATCCATTCTTAAGACAATAATAAAAAAAAAATCCGATAACTATTATACCTACTTATTGAGCTGTATAAAATGTTTTTTTTTAAATAATTACCATAGCATCAAGGCATCGAACGATCCCGTCATATGAAGCAACATAAATTACTCCTCGGATGTAGCTCGCTTTACTTTTGATCATATATCTAACATTCGTCCTCCAGATTTCTTGACATTTGTGTATGGTGAAACAAACAATAGTTCCGTCATAGGAGCCGACCACGCCGCAAGGACCGCGCACTCCGCCGTCGAAGCAATGTATCGACGCCTCTATGCGGGAATTCAGTTTTATCTGACCTTGTAATCTTCCACTCTCTGTATCGATCACGGCTATTTTGCCAGAGTGACTGCAAACGGCTACAAACACCTTACTGAAATAAAAAATACACATACTAATAAATGCGAAAGTTTCGATTGATGGATGTTTATTACTAAGTATCTCCAGTATGACAACAGATCTCGTAGAATATGGTGTGCTTAATAAATCGTATTTTAAATTCCGCACGACCGATTTCGCTGACAAAAGCTAGTTATACAATAATTGGTACATTTATATTGCTATGCTTATTTAAAAAAAATATTGTGTTATTTGAAAATAACAGAATGCTTTTATTTTTTTACTCATTTCAATAGGTATTCAATACTAGTAAATTATAACCTATGGCAGTAGCATATTAAAAATGCATTCAATAAAAATAAGTATTTTAAATATTGTATTAAAATTTCAACTTACTTTTTATATGAACATAATGTTGGTGACGCATCAACACATTTCCCTGTATCAAATTTCCATAATTCTTGAAATTCAACAAGATTTCTATCCAATTCTAAAACTTCACTTAAAGCATACGCTAATCTTTTTGATCTAAAATCTGGTTTTTTGGTTCTTTTCTTCGATTTCATTTCCTCATAAGAATAATCTTTTTCAACTAGTTGTACAATATCTTGAATTGTTTTGTTATTGGATATTAAATATGGTAGTATAAAATTGCCTAGTTGAGGATATGTATGTGATAGTTTATTGCACATTGCAATAGCTAGAAAAGAGGTACCTCCAATTGATTGATAATTTTTGTTCTTTATTTCTTCAATTGGTAGTGTTGTTCTCAACATTGAAGTGAGTTCTTCTAAGAATGCATTCGTTGCAGGGATTGTCGGTTTATTCAAATCATTCTCAAACATTGTAGATAGGATCTGCTTAGATGTCTTTCCATGTAAATTCGTTGGTAAATTATCAACCTTGATAATTTTATCTGGCCAATGTTTTTCTTCTAGCTTACCTTTTATAAGTATAGAAAGGTCATGGCTTTTGATTGTTTCTGATGAATAATATAAAACGAGCAGCATTAATTTGGGCAACCAAATACAAGAGCATGTTTTAACTTCGGAGCACTGCATTACAGTGTTTTCGATGTATTGTAGATTGATTTTGTTACCAAATCTTTTAATGATATCATCTTTACGTCCTCTATAGTAAACGGTGCCATTGCTCACTTCTCCTATGTCTCCAGTGTCCACAAATTTGAGGGAGCATTCTTCATTTGAACCTGGTCTTTTGTTATTTAGAATATAACATTTTCTTGTGTTACTTACTGGAAACAGAAAAAAACTTGTATTAATATAAGTCTTTGAGGATATGTTTTAAAGATTGATTACTTCAAGTACTGGAAAAAAAGAAATATCAACTTGCTGTCACATAGAGCTTAATATCTTCATTGCAAATAAATATTTTTTTATAGTTTATCATATTGTTAATATTTTAAATGTAATTATCACACTTACCTAATATAATTTTACCAGAACCACTAAAGCTAGAATTCTTAGAATCAATGTGTAGTTGAGTTTCCGAAAGGCAGTTACCTAATGGTACTTCACGGTCTGTGGTTATTTTATTCAAATCTAACTCAGCAACACAAGCCCAACAGGACATTTCTGTAACTCCGTACAATGTGAATATTCTACATGTGTTGTTGACATGCTTCAATTCCCTTAATCTTCTTACACCATTCAGTGGCTCACCACCAAGTGCTAATATCTTAAGTGTTGAATCAGCACTTAAAATTTTATTTTTAATATCACAGTTTGAATGCTGGAAGAATTTTGATGGTGTAGTTTGCCAAACTGTTATTGAATACTCTTTTCTATGAGGAAACAAAATATCAATATATTCAGGGGCAATTAAAAGTGATGCACCATTTTTGAAAGCTAAGAGAATTTCAACCATTGATGGATCAAAGGTCAATGGTGTTGAAAAGTATATAACATCGGAAGAATCTATGTTAAACAATTTAGTTAAGTCATCTATGTTTGGTTGAATACATTGCACTGGTACTTGGACATGTTTCTTCTTTCCTGTGCTTCCTGAAGTTGATGCAATAAAACAATGTTCCATTACCCATTTCTTGGTAAGTAAATTGTTACTCTCTTGTTTAAAAAAGTTAATAGTGTAATCAAAAATAACAATAGTTTTATCAGGTTTTTTTTCACATAACTTCATAGAGTAATCTTCATTGGTATCTTGTATGGAGATGATAATCTTTAACTTAATATCATTTATTTCATTTTCAATACTTTGAGCCGGATCCAAGAACATGAAAGAGTTACAGCACTTATGGACTCTGGAAATTAAAAACAACAAATGTGAACATATTGTAAAACATTACCATACATATACATCCTTATAATAACACGCTAATTATTTAATGTGGGAGGTAATATATGTTTCTATTTTTCCAATACATCTGACATTTACGTGTCAGTACATTTTGATCAAGAACTTACTGAAGCAATATTTTTCATCAAGATAATTAATCAGTCATAGCAATAACAAAAAATTATCAAAAACTCACGCAGCTATAGCACAAGGAACTATTACATTTCTGTCAGTTACCAATCCAATAACTTCTCTATTACAATCTAGTTGTAAAAGAATTTGAGAAATATATTCACAGACGCCGAATAACTCTGAATATGTGTAAGTATTATAGGTTTCATTTTTATATTGGCGTACGGCTTTTTTGGAAGGATTAACTGCACAGGTTTTAACAAAAACATCATAAAAACCACGTTTGGATTTCATTGGGAGAAAATTACTACGATACCAATAGATTACTTATTTTATGTCTAAACAAACTAAAATAAATAATTTCTGCGACTCGCCATTACACTATTTTTTGTTCATATTAAAAAGAGTTAGAAATCAAATCATATTCAATATTTTGTTATGGGTAAACAAATCTAATCTAATGACATTGACATTTCAAACAATGTTGCACTGTCTAAATGTATTTCTCTTTTTTTAACTTCTTGCCATTTTATGTACTCTTTGCTTTTTACTTTTTAAAAATAAATATTATTTCACAAGAGAAGTACAAAATAAAACTTTTAAAATTGATAAGTTAGTTACATTTAGTATTTATATAATAACAATTTGTAGATTACTGTACTTTTATCTAAGTCAACTCAAGTCGTCTAGCTCGCTCTCGTGTTCATTAACCAAAACTAAGAAATAAATGGAATGTAGCTGTTGTAAATATCACATTATTTGATGAAAATAACTTAATCATTAAAATAAAATCCTGTGTGAGTCAGTTCATCATCATTGTTGTACGTTGTTCAGTTTGTAATGACGATAAAATGTGAGTTCTTTATTTGGAAATAATATGACTTAATTTTGGAATATTAGCGTCGCTTTTAAAAAACTTTGGCAAGTAGTTACATATACTTTAACTTTTAATGTCATCAATGTGTTCAATTTGAGGTCAACGCATGTGATAGATGTCTAGACGTATTGCGCTATCCTAAATATCAGTATCGTGCTTTAGACATTTTAGGTATGGCTTGATAGTTCTATTTTCTAAATTAATAACGGTTTCCCACTTTCACTTTAAAAGTTAAAAACGTACTTCGTCTTATGTATTTTTAATATTTAGCATTTTGTTTTTATTTATCCATTATTTCTGTTTTAAAAATTTATAATCAGCGTAAATAGTTATTATTTTTAACTTTTACTTTAAAGTTTTCTAAGTTTGAAGAAGATTACAGACAAAATGTAGCGCAGAGGCTCTGCGGCGGTGTTGACCTAAAACTTATTCGGCAAATGAACGGGCCCAATCAATTAGGGGCGGTCAGCGATCCGCCAGAAAACGGGGCAGCGCGCGCGCTCTCCAAGGAAACTTGGAAAATGACTTTGGGGGGGGGGCAAGGAATAGTGTTGCGACACGGCTGGAAAACCGATTGCGTTGAAATAACTGTTGTAACTTTTAAACGAATTTAACCTTTAACAATTGAATTTTCTTACAAGAGTTGTTTAATAATAAGAAAGCTACGTAACCTAGCGTAGATAGATAGCAACTTAAAAGGTTTTATCGTGCGATGGGTTTACCTTGCCTACACAACCATACAACACCTACTGTTGTCTCAGTTTTTTTAGAGAAGTTAAAAGAGAAGGCAACACATTTTTTTACATATTTGCTCATAAAAACCCTCGGTCATAAATATACAAATATGTATGTGATTCCTTACATATTTTGTACTTTTAGTTTTATGAAAGTAGATTACATCCGTTGAAACTGAATATTGTTTAATCGGAGTGCAAATAGCGTCGCTACTTGCGATAGAGCGCTAAGGTTGTATAAAGCACAATGCAAGCACCACTAGGGAGGAGGGTGCGTGCGGCGCGGCATCGATCGCGCGGGGCGGCGCGCACTCTGCTCACTGCTCAGTGCTCAGTCCGCCGGGGCGGCCGGCGAAAGCGCGCGTGTAATGCGCTGCCGCTGAGATGGCCGGCGCTCGGGCGCTCGTGGCCGCCTGCTGCTGCTGGTGGTGGCTGGCGAAAGCCGCCGGTGAGTACTACTATCTAACATACATTTTTATTTAATAACTTCAAAAAGTGTCAAAACAGCTGATTTGTCTTAAATTACCGAAGAATTTACGTGCCGTCTTAGCCTTAAGAACACGAGTGCTTTACCGTATTTTATATCCGCAATCAACCCCCGTGTGACATTACTGATAAAATTAATTAATACATTTTTCATTCAGAGTTTATGTGTTTTGTAGACAAGAGTAGAGCTTAGATTTTTTAGGTTATTTTCATGTGTTGTATACTTTCGTGTAAATATAAATTATTTTACCATCGCGTATTCGCTGCTATTAAATTTAAATAAGATTTACAACTTACATTAATTTTACGCGAAATGTGTTTTAGTTAGTAACTTGAATTTTCCGCGCCTAATTGGAAAATAACGCAACTTGAATGTGTAACCTTTTAAATTTCTAACTATATTTAAAGACTGTAATGTAAAAATTTAGATTTGTTAGTTATAATACGGTTTAAAGTCTGCATCAAAATTATGTAATTTATAATTAATTTGTTTTTTAAAACAAGTCATTTATTGGAAATTAATTAATGTAGCTGTGGTGTCAGTGCTTAAAACGGTGTAGATGTAGACGGCGTAGTGTTCGGCGGGCACTACTCGTACATACTACGCGTCGCGTCCTTGCCTCGACCACTGCCGGCAAACGTCGCCCGGCATTACGTCATACGCTAATCTGACATCTGCGTAAATATTGATAATTATCACGCCACTTTGCCGCGAGGAAGTTAGATAAATGCAAGCATGCACCACCTGCCCGAAACTGGGCCTGAATCGTACGATATTCGCTACGCCGCAAATACTATAGCTTATATTACGCCTGATTAGATTAGAACGATTGTACGACACTAAGAAAATGGAATCTTAATTAGCTACGAACAAATGAAATTTATATTTTTTATTTATATATAATCTTAAACTTATAACTTTAAATATTTATATTTATATATAATCTTTACATCTGAATTTATAATGTCAAGATTCACTTTATTGTATTAAAATTTTAATCAATCAAATTATTAGTTATTGAAATTTAAAAATGATGATAAAGTAAATTAAACATTTAGCTACATATTGTTTGGTAATTGCAGAATAAATAAAGTTAATAAAATATTTACAATGATTGTTAATTTTGGTAAAAAAGTAGAGATTTTGGATCCGTTTGGATAGTATTATAAAGTCAAGACGAAAACATTTTAATGTCGAAAGCAAAAATCTTTCTATAAGATGACAATTTATTTACTAATCTCTTTCAAAAGACATCAACGCGCAATTAATGAAACGTTGAGGTCTAAATTAAGCTTTGTACAAATAAGAACAAACACCAACTATATATTGCCAAATGTTTTAATATCTGACCACTGATGTCTATTACATGGATGTTGCGAAATGAAAGTTTTGCTTCATTCCGACTTAAATACCCTAGATGCATGGGGTGGCAATTTATTATATCTCTATTATTTGATCGAATCCAAATTATCACTGTGAATCACTACTGTCACCACCACAATGGCGAAAAAAGAAACACAAATACCATGGCTGCCTGTCCATGTATCTGGACCCTGCATCTGGACTCTAACTATTTCGGCTGTCAAAGCCCCTTTAGAATCATGCAGTCATATCTCACATTATCTTTGAAAAAAATTACGCGAAATGTCACGGTAATATTGTTCAGAATTATTGTAACTAAACACGAAGTTTTCCTTACACACTATAATTTTATTTCAATTAAAAAAAACCTTTAAAATTGCTTTATAAAGATAACAGACAAGTTATTGTCTGCAATTACACCACGAATTTAAGATCAATGGAGATACTGGTAAAATACTTAGTTGGCTTTCAAAATAATTGGCATAGTTAACTCCACGCACATGTTAACTACATAATACAGCAATTAATGAAACATTTTTTTCTCTATGTTGACTCTTTTTATTTAAAAACATTTTTCTATTGAATAGAAAACAGTCGAGTCGCGATTAAAGATTTTCAATTGCTTATTTATCGTAATATTTTTATCTGTTTAAATTGTAAATAGAAAAAATACAGTTTTATTGTGAAGAGAAGAACTAACTAAAACCTTTTTCGCGTATTTGTCTGTATAAATCAAAGTGGAACATCTGGCAGAAGGGGTAACATTTCCTGAAGCGATTTGTCAAAATAGGTCATTGACCCGCCAACCTCATGTAGGGCGACGCGTCTCGTAGCACTTTGATTTGTCACATTAATCTCTTTTAAAGAGCTTGGTTAGTTCAACTGCTTGCAGAAACACATAGTTAAAGAAGTCAAAAAGGTTCCATTTAACTTTATGTTTTGCAGTTTTTATTATTCTTTTTAAATTAATACTACGAAATCTGAGAATATTACAGATTCAACATAATAATCTAATTAGAAAGAAAATATATTTTTAACTTTTTTTTTATAATACGATATTTTTATTAATTTACGTAGCTTAAGTTTAACTTTTGCCACCTCATGAAAAATATTTAATGACATATTTTAAGGTTTTTTTAATACTGAGGCTGACACGAAACACCTGTAGTGAAGTATTTTTATCGGAGTAATATATTCAATATTACATGTAAGTCTTTATATAACTTTTAGGGTCTAATAGTACTGGCTTTGCTTAGTATAAAATTGAATAAAGCTGTAACGTGGCAGGGTCTCCGCCTTACGTAAGCTACGCTGTATAAAATGCCGCATTGAATTTTTATATTCTCACCGTGCGCTTGTCGCATTTGAATTTATATTCTATCGCTCCCCTTATCACACTTTATTGGCTATTTAGGAAAATTTCCTCCTGTAGGGTCATACCTTGAATCATTTTCCTCATACTACAATTCTAAAAAGGTAGCTGTAGTAGTTATTACATTTAGATAATCTTGATTTAATATTTTTAAAGCTGTTCTTTACGAGTCGTTTCAAAAGATTCGCTATTGCACGTTTTGGATATTTTGTATACATTTTTATGACTTAAAGGATACAAGAGCAACATGTTCGACTTGTGTTTGAAATGTAAAAAAGTATCGTTTTAAATAATTTATTAGGATTGTACCTAGAGATTTGGTCTCAACATTCATGGTCGTGTATATTGTTAGGAATTATTGGTATAATTTTGTTTTTAAAAACGATTTTAACATTAAAAAAGTTACAAATGGCGATTGCACGGTTCATATTGAAACGCTCCAGTGCCACGTAAATTGTAATCTATGTAAATTATCGTCTGTGTATTAATATGGATTCCAGCGTGAAATTATCTTATCTGTATCGCTGTTTGAGAAGAATAATCCAATACGAGATACCGAGATTCAGTTTATCCACAACAGGTCCCCTCTGATATCGCACAGCAACATGCTTAATCTCAACATTGTTATATGAAATTTTTATATTTCGTATTAAGTTTCTTTCTAAAAAGCATATTTAAAAAAAATCTGCAGTGGCACAACAATGATAAACTCATATGTCTTTTAGTTACATTTTTCTAAATAGGAGAACCGCTTAAAAACGTAGACTTCACCAATAAAGTAATAATTCATTATGTATCAAATTGTGCAATTCTATCGAAAATATTCAATAGAAATATTTTTTCCAGACAAACATCTTTTCGAAACAGGACGTGAGAACGTTAGACGGAGAAACAAAATAAATACAAACAGTATAACGTGGCTCCGCTCGCGTCGTCCGCGCACACTATTGACAAAAGATCTCACACCTCAGATAATATAATAACATTTTATCTATTTATTTACTCGGAGAGATTAACCTTTGTCTATGGTATACGGGGTTAAACTGTTTAAAGAGTTTTCTTTAAAATAATATTTTTCAAGATAAATGTCTTTTAGAAGAACGGTTTAATTTATCTATTTGCTAAGATGGTATTCAATGAATCTTAAATTTCATCTACTCCGTTTTCTCAATGCTAATTGTATCAAAATAACTACGAGTACAACAAATGTAATATAATTATGGTAATGTAATATACATGATTTTTTTAAGTATTATTCAAAACGCTTTTAAATTTACATGTTAAACTTACACATACATTTACTTACTTACAAATCTAATTTTCTTAAAACTTTCAGGTTTTTTTACTTTATTTGTTATAAAGAATTAAAAGCATCGTATTAAATCATTTGTTCTACATAACTTTGTATAATATTTCTCCAGTTTTCCCGGAGTATCACATAACAACAGTTCTCAATATCGATTATTGAACAAATTGACAAGCCACTTGTGCACATCGTATAGTTCAAATTAAATATCATACGTGCTTCTGGTGTATCATTTAGCGCCAGTATTCAACAACCCACTCGACTATACGTCGAGGGCCTCTTGAAAAATCCACCCTTCTATTAATGTATTAATTTTTGAATAAGTTTTTATAACCCCTATTTTTAAGCTATAAAGGAAATAAAACTTTTACTTCTTATTTGAATAAGTTAATATGTGTAAAATTAATAATTAAAGAAGATTGAGACATAGTATAGCATAACATCTTATAGCAATTGTTTTATTACTTGAACCTAGTAATCGATTATTAAGATCGATCCTAAAATTATTAAAATGTATTGCATGAGTGGATAAATTGGATCGATCTCTAAACTATGAATCAGATTTATCGACGGCCGACAGTTAAAAAAGTTTCGTTAATGCATTTTCGTTTTTTCGTTACTAAAACCTCCTTTATAGCAACAATAATGAACAATAAAGGAATTATTATAGAGCCGAAAGCATACCGATAGTAAATATGAAATTGTCGTAACATTTTTTATTGCCGTGATAAAACTCGGTTTCTTACCAGTTTCAGAACTATTAAACTACCTGTACAGTTTACCGTAGTACCAAATCACTTAGTCGTATGTGATAAATACAAATGTGGTTTTGTATTTGGAAAAAGTGTAGTTAACTCTTCTTTATTATATTATAAAACTAAAACAAGCTAAGCGATTGATGTAATTTCATAAAATCAGTTG